GATAGTTGCCTAGCTCCTGGCCGGAAGGTCCTGGGTTCAATCCCAGGTAGGGGCTAAAGTGATTTATCTTGATCTAATTCCTTCCAGACGGCTCCCAGGTTCACTCAGCCTGCTTTCCAAATGAGTACCGAGATTCAGAGGCTGGCCAGAGCGTGATGCTGACCACATCACCTCCACCTCCAGTGTCTGATGGTCAAAGAAAAATGGCGGCCCTTGCCCCCATCCCCCCATGGGCCTTTATAGCCTGCAAAGGGACCTACCTACCTATTTGTCTACCCCTTCTTCTTGTCCTCTCCTCCCAGCTTAGCCAGATAGCATCTGAGGAGACTGTCCTTCAGGAAGGACAGTGCACTTCACAAGGTTAATCTGACTTACCCTCAGTACTGATCAACATGACACGTAGCAATGGGATTGCACAGATGGTAATGAGATTGGGATCACGATGTAGAGCAGATCTTTTCTCTTGTAATTCTTCAAAAACAGCTGTTTGTTCCTTTCATTTTTAACAGAGGAGGATTAATCTAGTAGCAGGCTTTATAATGTAAGATGGCAAAGAAAGAGAGAGAATATTGTGGTGAAATGACACAACAATAGCAGGTTTTACATGGACAAATCCTGACTTTTCTGTCAATTTTTTGCTTGTTCACTTTGAGAAATTTGGTACCTGGAAAGCTTTTTGTTTTACTCTGAGCCAGAGTAATTTTGATCTTTGAAATAATACATCCAAAACCATGAGCCAATGAAGATTGGCAGTATAGATTTTCAGATAGAGGCAGTCTATACATATGAATTTAAAAAGACAACCATCACTTAGAGCCTTGTGGTGCACTGTGAAGACAGGTCAATTTTTCTATTTTTCCTTTAAATCATCCTATAACATGCTTCTTTTTTAAAGACACTAATTTCAGCATGGATATATAAATGAGATCTAATAAATAGGCAGACATCATGGTAGCACAGTGGATAGCATTGCCGCCTCACAGCACCAGGGTCCTGGGTTCAGTTTGTGTTCGTGTGGGTTTCCTCCAGATGCTCTGGTTTCCTTGCACAATCCAAAGATGTACTGTAAGCTGTACTACAAGAAGATTAGTTGGCATTCTGGGAAAACCGGCCCTGGTGTGAGTGTGTGTGTTCATGTGTGCCTTGCTTTGTGCCCATTGCTTGCTGGGATAGGCCCTGGCTCCCCCTTCACCCTGTAATGGACAAAGTGTTTAGAAAATGAATGGATAAAAAATATGCCTAATTGTCCTTTAAATTGAAAACAGGACATTCAAAATTAATCCTGAAATTAGTCAACAGTGAACCATTGCTGACTCAATGACCACTCACCAGTCACAATCAGTGTCCAGCCAAAGTGACTTCCTGCCATCATTGGCCTGGTGCATACAGGTCATATGGGCACAGGGAGGGATATTTAAATATCTGTCCCTAATATAAAAAAAATACACGTTTACATTGTGAGTAGAGCTCCACAAGTTGCTATGCTGATAATTTAGTAGCTGTCTGCTTGCATATTAAAATTGCGATTTCAGTCACATAATGTGATATGTCTGATTGACTGTCTTGCTCCTCCAGATATAACCATTACAAAAAATCACATATTAATGAATATTCACGCATATACTGTACAGATAGTCTCCAGCACATATACAGGTCTATATGAACACAAGTTTGTATTAATAATAAATTATACAGCAAGTTCAGCTTACTTCTATAGCATTTTATCATTTTTTGCTACCGGTCAATCATAACTCCAGAGTTTTGAAAACGCTTGTGTCTAAGGGCTGGCAGATAGACAGGTCTGAGGGGCATTTTCTTTCCGTTAGTGAATGTAAACCCATGGGAGATTAATTAAGATGGGAACATATGATCATTACTTTCATTTTCATTCGGATTTGCTTTCTGTACACCAAAGATGACTAAACACTATTTCTTTGCTATCAGTTTTATTCTGATTGAATTAATTGTGTGTAACACATATCAGCTGAATGCTTTTTTCCTTCTAAAACAGTGAAGCCAGAATCATTGCTGAACATCACCTCCAGCGCTGGATGGAGAGAATAACAGTCACATACGATATACGGTATACATCACAAATGCTATATTGTGATTTTGCAGTAGATGTACAAACTGAATATCAGCTACTCTGCTTTTTGTGTTACATTTATAGCGCTCATAGAGGCATAGGCTCTGAAGCGTTGAGGAAGTGATCTCTTCTGGGTTTCAGACTGCTGATGCCTTTTCCGATACTGTCATTTTCCCTGCCTCTGTTTCTCAGCTCTTTTACACCTCTGTCAGAGACTGATAAGTATGTGTTGTTCCTGCTTTGGGATGCACTGTTATTAGATTTTTCATCAATGTTGCCTTTCCTGATTAAGAAAACATGTTATTATTAATAATATTTACAATTATTACAGTTACAATTATTAATTGATATCCACCCATCTCCTCCTGCAAACATGCATTGATAAAATCTGACAATCAAATCAAATCACATGTATCCCAATTCAAAACTTATTCTAAAGTGCAAGACGCAAGTAGTAATCATAATTAATCCATTTTCCAATTACCCCTTCCACATCGTAAGGCACATTCTTAAGAAAAACAAACTAAAAAATGGAACAAGCTCAATGGTGCTCAGTCTTGGTCGACAGACAGAATACCCACCTTGGGAATTCTCTCCTCCCTCTTTTGCTCTTTTGTCTTCACAGCATCAGTTGCTTGAGTGGCCCTGCTAAGACTCAGAGCAGGATTGCCACTGTCAAAGTCTGCCGCCTCAGGTTTGTTTTTCTTGTAGTTTCCAAAGTCAAAAACGACCTCCAGGACTCGACCGGTGTTCCAAGGTTCACGATTCTGGGTGGCTTGCCAAAGCAGCCCAAGATATGCATCGAAAGATTGATATTAATCACTATTTCACAGAAAGGCCGTGTAGAGCTCAACACTGCATTTGGTGTGGCAGCTGTAAGCAGGAAATAGGAAATGCTGATAAAAGGGCTAGATGTATGTCAGCAGCAGCTGTATGTATGACTGACACCCTGAGAACGTTCACTGTTAATGTGTCCTACACCACAGATTACAGAGCCCACACAAATGTACTCAGTACTGTACAAAAACCTGAAATCAGTGTTGCTGCCACAGTTCATGATGTATTCATATTTTCCACAGAATCACTGCAGGGCTAATTCTTGTCCCTGAATACAAAAAAGCAATAGTTTATATAAAATACACTGAAATGAGCTTTGCACATTCTATTGCAGCCCTTACTGTACCTATCAAACATGACTATTTTAATAACTCAGCTTGAAGTCTAATTGCATGCACTGTGAAGCAAGAGGTTGGGAAAACGCTTAAGAAACAAAAATCAAGGTGGGCGGGGAGGACAAACATAACCGAAGAGCAACCTCTGGGAGTTATTTTTTAAAAATATAAAATTTTACATCATAGTTTATGTACAGCAGTGCAGTAATTACTTAAATACTAAGTAACATCTTTGTACTATCAATGCCTTGTATTTTGATTTTTTTCTATGTACCAATTTACACAGTTTTACACTATTATTTTGTTGAACAAATCCAGCATACTGATAAGGAGCAGTTTAATTTCTTATACATCTATAGACCATTGTGCAGCAGAAAGGAAGAAGAATACAGTAGAAATCAAAGCTACAACTGAGTTGACAGAACTGAGTAAAAGTACAAGAGAAAGCATTGTCAAATAAGAGCAGTTTAACAGAACATATTACAATGAATAAATTACTTTTGGGAAATGGAGAAGAGCAGAGTTCAACTGCATGTGTAAATGTGTACTCTGCAGCCTTTGTCCAGTTCACATGAGAAGTTAGTTCTTGTGTGGCATGGATGTCTGGTACACCAGTACAGCATACTGTAGATCCTGGCAGCCCAATGGGCTCTTGAGCTGGTTCTCCATCAAAATGCACACAGTAATCTTGGAAATGGGGAGAAGACAAGACACAAATCCATTAAGACAAACTCTGACATCTGAAGACTTTGAACGGATTGGATAGTGTGTCAGCTTGGCTTTGAGTATTTCTCACTTGCTTGCTCAGAAGGCTGGACTCTGTACATTGGAAAAGAATAGCTCCAATTACTGAGGACAGGAAATTTCTCACACATCAGGTGAATTGAGATATAGATCGCATTTAACAACCTTGTTCATTTGGTTTGCTTTCGATTTACTAACAGTAACATATGAGGAAAGTGTACACTGAGTGGAAACTTAAATTCTGAATTTCTCTGGACTGGAAACTATGTACAATACATTCATTGAAGCAACAAAGGACAGAGCTGAAATGAACTCATTACATGTCTTTTAACAGTTTTTATTTGCATGTTTGCATGGCACAAAAACAATGAAGTCCATTCAACCCAGCAAAGGCCTAGGTGATTATTTACTAAAGCCACCTACTACCCCAGTCAATGGGCACGGTGCACAACTGTTAGAGCAGCACATTAACAAGCTGCATAACTGCAAGGCACACATACCAAAGGTTCAGACAGTAACACCACTGACAAACAAATGATTACCAACCATAAGTGAGGTAATGTTTGTTTAAAAGGTAAAGTAAAACAAATCTCAATTTTTAGCTGCGGGACTTTCTTAAAATGAACAGGTCTGCTTTTTCAATGAAGACGTTTGAGTGGGGAGCCGCTTCATCTTCCATTCTGATGAGGAGAAAGATGTGAATGTTGCACCTTCTTCAGCTTTGTGAAGACTTTCACCCGAAACGTGTGTTCTCTCTACTTTTCAGAGTGAAATTTTTCTTCTCTATTGCTCCTGTGGTGTAGAAGAGTGTTTCTGTTCTAATAACACCCCGAAATATGCTAAACCAAACAAACATGACACCTTGTTTTCCTGCACTATTAGGGAATGAAGAGAGCAGGTGTGTTTAAGCTGAATGGGCAGTGAAGATTTTAAACACTGAATATGTTTCAAAAAGAACAGAGCACTATCATGAGAGGAGACATGCAATGCAACACAAGTCATTTTAAAAAAAGTTTATTGAAAAGATGAAAAAGGGGTAAGACAGCATGGCAGTTCAGCTGTGGGCTTTACTATAAAAGAACTTACTATAAAACAAATGGTTTACAGTGAACATCCGCTTGCACTTTGTGAACAAGATCCCAGTCCTCTCCCATCCCATCGAAACACGGTTTGGCACGGATGTGTAGAAAGGTCTGGCCAATTCCGAAAGATCTCTGAAGTTTAGGGGGATGTACAAAATAGAAACATGTCACAAATGACATGTATTTTACAGTAAAAATTCAGTACAGTAAAAAAGATACATAGCTTTTCCTCCTTGTGTCTAAAGTATTATAATACACTGGCTTTAGAAAAAAACACTAAGATTACCTGGCATGCACAGACCTCTCTAAAGCAAAAAGTAAAACCTACACTAAAAAAAAAAACACTAACAATGAATATTTCAAGAAAGGCCTGTATCTTTTATTTTCACCTTTAGGAAAAAACAATTGCATAACTTTAAGAAATGCATTGCCCTGGGGAAAAATATCCAAATGTTTATCATGAAGGAAACATTTACTCCCAACCTCACAAAAGTATGAAAAAGAGTCAAACCTTTTTACAAAAAAAAAACATTGCATAGTCATTACAAAAAAGGCATTACAGCGTCATTGTATACCAGGTAATTATTGATTTATTTTCTTCTACTTTATCAACACTGGCCAACCATGCATTACAAGGTCAGCATTACAGACAACAGCCAAAGGACAGCCAAAGGGGCTACCAACTGTCTGGTACAAAACTTAGCTACAGCAAATCCACCCAAGGCATGAAAAACTGCTTCCTGGCCTTTTAATACCCAGCACTTGGGAAGCACATTAACAACCTCCACCACCATTCAGTGGATCTCTACTCCACCACCTCCCTCAGCGTGACACCCCTCAATATAAACCAATGATTAACAAAAAAGTGTCTGTTTAAAGTTAGACTGTGAACATACCATGTCTCCTATCTCTTAAGCTCCATGCCCCAAGTTAAAGAAAAAGTACCCGAGACTTTACTTAGTGAAATCATTAAGCATAAAGATGATAGCTTTTTACCAGTCAGTCTTCCTCATCTCTAAAGATGATTTGGTAACGTGGCGTCTGCATTTTATGTCGTCCAGAGGGACTCGAGAGTCATCTACTGACTCGCAGAAACCCAAGATCTTTCTAAACTAATTATGGCAGTATGTTCCAGTGACAGGCAAAGGCCGAGTACGCTCACGTATGCACAGTACACACTATTAAAACCTGCGTATGAAAAACCCTATTAGAATTCATAATAAAACAGCCAAGGCAGAGGTAACAGGCAGGATGCTACTGAGTCAGTCCAAAGAAATGGCATGTGCTTGGCTTTAATAAGGCTCTTCATTACAAAGGGATGCAGGGTATAGTAAACCACTTGCATCTAACAATTTCTGTGCAAAGGGGACTGCAAAAGCAACTGCCCTGATACAAACAGTAAGCATGTCAGATAATGTGAATGAAATGGAACTGGATACTTTCTGGTCAGGGTGGAACTCATTCTTCAAATGAAACCACACGCTGACACCATATTTGACTATAAAAAGGATTTTACAAGATTGACTGCCCAGAATTTAGAAACGTTTTTCAATGAGTTTTATTTACATTTGTATGGGAAAAAACAGCACATATCCATCAGAATGTAGCTAGATAGGTCACAAAATGATGTTAGGCCAATAAACTTCTCATCTAATGACAAAAAAAGGATTACAGTTCCTAGCATATCTTGTCTGCTAAATCTGTCAAGAAAAGGAAAATACCAGCACATACAAACTGCCTCAATGCGAAAAGAAAATACAAGTGCCCTTGTTTGATTCACTATCACAAGGCCACTTCAACAACAGAGCCCCTCTGTCCACTGCTGCTTGTATTCTGAAACTCTCGCTACTCAGCGCTGGAGATGAATACATTAGCTTTCAAAATAAGGCAGTCTGGTCTACACAAGCCCAAAATCAAATACAGTCAATAGGCTGCCAAGCAATTATTTCAATATCCAGACAGCTATGAAATTTCAGAGCTCCCCAAGGGGGACTTCTGAAAATTTGTTGGCATCAAGTGTCTTAAAAGTATTACATTTTTATTTATACCCCACCGCCTCATGTTCACTGAACTTGCCAAAGCACACAAATGATCTGTGCAGGACAAAACATCCTTGGAACAGCAGGATACAGAGCAAGAATGTTCTACAGTCATCACTGGCTCATCTTTTACAGTGATTCTAGTTGTGAGGTGCTGTCAACGAAGAAAATGTTTCCTTCTTTAAAGGCATGCCAGTTTCAAATGAGCTTTTGATACAATATTTAAAATCTACAAAAATTACATTTGGCTTACTGCAAGGCCAGAACTGCCTGCGAGTATTTCATTTTTCCTTCTGCATCAATACTGTTACTTCAGTCTTTCACATGGTCTGCCAGCCCAGCAGTAGAGAATGTACAGAAATGAGGCAAGAGGTACAGAGCACCAAGATTCAACTGTGTGCCAACATGATTACATAGGAGATACAGTATTATCTTATAACAGCACTGGACAGCACTCCACTGGAAGGTCTGTTCTAAAACCTCCAGGTCATGCAACAGATTACTTACTAAAGGCAGCTATTTTTAAAATCTTAACTGGAAGTGTTTGTTTTTGGAAAACTAAAAATAAACTATTATTGATTCTCCAGAAAGAATTGGGGGAAAAACCTCTAAAGCTTATTGCACTGCCACAGATAAATGGGGTAAGATGAGCTCCCAGGGAAAATGCTAATAAACGTTTAGGTTATATATTACTACCTCCATTATTAGCAGACTGAACTTCGATTAGCAGCTGTTAGGAATCAGCTTCCTATTACATGGAAGTGCATTAGCAAAAGAAGAGTGAGTTTCCTTAAGCTAAAAATCCATACAACCTAAAGGAAGGCACCACATTAGACCTTTTACAGAGCTAAACAGTCAGATGAGAGGTACTATTGCAAATTATCATGAGATGAACCAGGAAATGCAAGACGTTTTGTTAAGTATGATTAGCACTGACATCATGAAAGGAACAAGTCAGAGTATCAGGAGAGGCTGGGGAGAAAGTCCAATTCAGACTGAGGTAAAAATGGAAAAGAACTGCATCAGGCAGAAAATCATGTCTGTCCTTACAAACAGAAAAAGAAAAGCCATAAAGTGTCACTTGTACTCAAGAGCCCAGATATCTTTCTCAGAAAAGTGACATGATTTGTATGGGTTTAATAACTGTGGGGAAAAACATCACAGACACCAAATTTAAGATTAATATATAATGCCTCTAAAAAAACTATTAATGGAAAAAAATCCCAAATAATTTCTGTACATCTATAAACAAACAGATCTTTACAAGATTAATAAAATGATTTCTATCCCTTTTGCAAGCATGTGACTAAATAGGAAAAGAGAAATTAAAAACCTTTATGGGTACCTTAAAAAAATGGCACTGTGGTTGACAAACATGATTGTTTCACCGTTGTAGAATACTGAAATTCTGATCCTGATTTGGCTGCAAATCGGTTAAGGAAAAAAATAACTTTTCTCCCCCCCAAAAAAAAACAAAAGAAAAACTGGTAAGAATTCACAGAGGCATTATACAAACATATATATAAAACCTTTACAAGCCATAAGGATTTAATACTACCGTTGGATGGGCATAAATCATGGGTTTCATTGGAGACCTGAAATCTGTCAAACTTCTTTCTTTTATACATAAAGTGGTCTACATTCAGCCCTGAGATTAAGCTATGTACTGTAGCTGCAACACTCCAGCACAGCACACTACAGCACAGGTACAATTCAGTACAAGTCTGACCAGGTGCAAGTCTGTGCGTATGCTCTCCTAATCCCTGTTTGTTGGGTTTTTTTGTTTTTCACATCCAGCAGCAGTACTAAGTCACAAGGCAAAAAGTGTCAACCTTTGCTATTTAAGAACTTTGTAAGAAACATACAAAAATTAAGGCCTGACGGACTGGAAATCTTTTGGCCCAAAAAAATTTCCTAATGAAAAATATCTGAAGGCTCAGTGTTTCAGCCCTTTCTATTTCGACAGCAGTAAAGGCTCCATGAGTTAAGACGAGGGCTGTGCTGATACCGTTGCACTGCTGTCCTAGAACACCTCTCTTGCTGCCTATGCCCCCATCCTGAACCATCTTCTCAATTTTCAATTAACAAAAGTTATTAATAACAAGTGACTGCCTTCTATGAGGCATCAGTGGTTTGAATTGAATCAGCAGAGAAGGGAAGCATAAAACATCGAAAAAGGCAATTTTTATAGACGTTTCTAAAAGAATAAAAATAAAAACGGGGAGTATCATCTTTACATCACTAGGTCGCAAAGGCGTACAAACTTTAAACATTCTGAAGGCTGATGTAGATGAAAACTCTCCCCTCCAGGACAAGCCCCTCCCCCACCCCCACCCCTCCTCCCCCACATGAAAGAATTTTTTTAAAAGGTTACTGAAAATGGAGTAAAAAGACCCAAAAAAAAGTCCTAGCTGAGCATCACTGCAACATGAGCTGCTTGAGGTTGTCGTGTAGGATGGTGTCCTTGACGTCGCGGAATACCAGACGAATGTTCTCTGTGTTAATGGCCGTGGTGAAGTGGTGGTACAGGGGCTTGTGCTGCTGATCCCGGCGCTTGTTGCGGAAACACTCCACCAGGAACTTCTGCACGTCGGCCAGGCTGTGAGAATCCCCTTCGTAGTCGGGGAAGTAGTCCTTGATGGCGACAGTTTTGACTTTCTCCTCCAGCAAGTCCGTCTTGTTGAGGAAGAGAATGATGGAGACGTTGCTGAAGACGCGGTTGTTGACTATCGTCTCGAAGATGTTGAGGGACTCCATGAGCCGGTTGGTCTGCCGGTCCTCCATCAGCACCTGGTCAAACTCGCTGGACGAGACGAGGAAGAGGATGGAGGTGACGCTGTCGAAGCACTCAAACCACCGCCGGCGCTCCGACCGCTGCCCGCCCACGTCCACCATCTTGAAGGGCACATTCTTGATCTCGAAGTCGTACTCGTGGATCCCCTTGGTGGGTTTCCGGGCCAGCAGGATGTCCTGCTGTGATGGCAGGTAATCCTGCAGAAAAGCAAGAGAGGGGACACAGGAAGTGAGAGAACTGGTACTGAAGACAAAGGAGTGAACCCAGCACGTCCGTGCACACCCACAAAGTCAGGTGCTCTCGCAGCAGTGTCAGTCTGCTTCATTTGCAAACAAATGTTCCACAAGTATTGAAGCCCGACGACGTGCACATCAAACTTTGCACGCCAATTTTCCCAATTAAGATTGGGCCTGGAAAATAACTCCATAATTACAAACAAGTCGCCATCTCCAATGACTTAAAACTGGAAAATGTGAGCCAAAAAGCGCACACTGCCCATTTTGCTGAAATGTGCTTGACTAATGAACACCGGAGACGCAAGTGGAACATCCGCATCTATTCCCATTTAGAGTAAAATGGTTCAAGAGGATACAATGATTAAAATTGGAGCAAACAGAACATATTTTAGGCCACAGACATTCCAGTGATGTGGAAATGGCAGCATATTGTGGGTGTAAACTATGTCCACATTACCACAAAACTATGTATATCGTGCAAAGATAACAGTGATGTCAGCTGCAAACTACTGTGCTTATGAAAACTGAGGTCACTGCTCAGGGCAAGGCGGCAAACCAGTCAGCGTGCTTTGTCACTTGGTTATTATGACATATGTGAAATCTAACAAGCACAAGATAAATGCACAGAATACATAACATAACATTCTAGATAACACCTTAAGAGTAACAATATTATATCTGCACAAAAATATTAAATTCACCCTAGGCATAGCTGGGCATTCATTAGGGCACTAGAAGTCTTGGTGGTAAGCAAAACGAATTTGTTGGTTACAAAAGATCCCACACCTGAAACGGAAAGAGTCAGTGGCCTGGAGTAAAATTCAAATTGAATGCACAATAGTTTAAGACTGAGCTTACAAGATAATTGTTTCATAATATTACAGCTCTGTGGTAAGCATAACCATTGAAAAGTAAATTTGGTCGACAAAGTGGTGAGATCAGATGAGTTTAGATCTGTCAAGACAAAGATGACCCCCCTATTATGCAGCCTCTGCAAATTCTGATCTAGGTTTATCGAATCAATGCCACAGTCCCCTCTCCAAAGAACCCTCAGCCTCCTATAAAGAAATGTAAATAACCCAGACAAGTCTGGATCAGCCCCTGCTGCTAGCTTCCAAGGACTCCCCTGTGTAGGAGAAGAAACAGCCTGTAAAGTGTTAACGAGGGGAAAAAAGAAAATAGCTGTTTCACACCATTGCAGGAATTATCTGAAGCTAGTTCCAACAAGCCTAATGCAATGAGACCTGAATCAGATTAAGCGAGAGAGATATGAAAGCAGGAAAATGTAGGAACTGATGCCTGGAATATCCTGCTTGCATATCACAATGACCAACTGCAAAATGTTTTTCTACATAACTAGTTTTAACAACTTGTCAAATCGGAATTAAAATACTGACAACGGCAAATAAAAGAGCAATATTGACTTTCTGTAATGTGGGAAATTCAATGTAGTCAGTCACAGGAATGAACTAGTACTTTATGAACTGAGAAAGGCCAATTCACAGGGACTGGTGTGCAAAGTTTTGATCTTGACAGATTGTTTTAACAGCCTAAGATTTGGTATTTTTTTCACTTTTATGTACTAGAAAAATGCAAGCAGAAATACAGAATAGTGCATCCTTAAGTTGCTTCTTACCTATAAGAAGGTACGGGTAAAAAAGTTGGGGAAATGTAGTGGGGAAGTTTAGATATTTACTCTTAAAGAGGAATGAATCAGGATTTTAACAATTTGCCATGCCCAAAACTTAAAAATCTCCATTGGCTCTTGACAGAATTCTGAATCAGCATAGACTACACTGGTCCTATCAGGCTACCAGTCTAATGACATAACCCAGAATGAAAATTAATGATACAGAATTAAGCTCCTGTCACTCTTTAGTCTGTGCAGCCAAGCTAGACCTCAGCTGATCTCACTTATACGACACCACTTGCACCATGTGACATGCCCACAGCCCTGTCTCCACCCAACCAGCAAGGCAGCGACAGAGCGACGAGCCCTGTGAACACTCCAGCAGTCTGCTGCAAGCTCTGGGTGCCACTAGACTGAGGATCTTCTATCCAAACATTTTTCAGCCTAATGACTAATCCAAGTCAGGATCGTGCTGGGAGACTATCCCAGTGAGCAATGGGCACAAGACGGGGCACACACATTGAATGGGATGCAAGTTCACCGTTGGGCACACACAAGGGCCAGATTTCCCAGAAGTCCATTAACATACCACTATGGCCTTGGACTGCGGGAAGAAACGCACACGGACACGGGGAGAACACAGAACCTTTACAGAGACAAACCCCAGGAACTGAACCCAGGGTGCCAACACAGCGAGGCGGCAATGCTATCCACGGCACCACCGTGCCACCCGAATGATGACTGTTCTCACTGGAAAGAGCTTTGTGCCACCTGGCAAGGGAGAATCCATTGGCATGTATTACAATGGAAATGACCAAGGTTGATTTTTCTCCCTTTTAAATCCCCTGGCCAAATTGCTCCTTCCCCTTCTCTACCATATCTGCAACCTTTACTCTCCCTCTTTCCATTTCTCCTTATTGACTACTCCCCAGTCTTTTCACTGTACATTTTAATTCCAACTCACTTCTTTTTACTCTAGTTCATGGTAAGAATTTTCCACTCCACCTCAGTCTACTTTGCTTACTTGTTTCTATGCTTACTCTCTCCTTTAAAATTCTGTGCTGAAATCTTAAATCTGACGCCTTTATTCTTAAGTGTGGCTTATATCCATCACGTCTCCCTAAAAGACAAACTTGCAGCAACTGCATCATTTTTTCATCTACAAACCTACCAAGGTTTAATAGGACTGCTGATCCTATCAGGTTTTTCAGACTTTTGAAAATGGAACTTTTTAAGGAGGGAAACTTTTATTCATTTTATTCACTTTTTCATTGGGTCACTAAATCGCGCAGCAAATTAGGAAGAAACAACAAGAGCTGCACACAGAAAGTCAGTTAAATTGTAAGCACACAATCAGTCTGAATGGAACACTTTAGAGAGCTTAAGCACTCTGGGAACTTTCCCAATTGTCAATGTCAAAGACTCCCAACTACACAGAAATACTAAGGTAGCAGTATTTAATTGACATACATGCTACAGATCTTGGTTGATATCTGTACAGAAGCATTCACAGGGCTGTTGATAATCTAAAGATCCTCAAAATTATTGCAAAATCTGACATTTCAAACAACTAACAAAAGTCACAAAGGTGTGCAACTAAAAATCACAGTGAACATATTTTTCAATGCACAACTTATCTAGATCTTATAACAGGAAGCTCCGAATTAAATTAAATGAACAGGTTAACATACAGTAAGTGTAACGTATCCTACTATGCCAGCACTATAAACAATTGTGGGTTTTTAGTTCACATATTGGATGACAATGCATCAAAATAGTTATCTCAACGCTGTTTTCAAAATGGTCGGCTCGGTATTATGAAATACTTTCATTTCCTCCTGCCAGCCACATTATTAAAAAAATCCACATGGATGAGCATAAAGAGAGCAAATTCTATCTCATCAGTAAAGATCAAGCAACATTACTATTAGAATCTGTTGACAGATATTCAGCCCGATTAGTTAGGAGAATGGGCTGGCCACAGAACCAAAAAAGAGTTACTAATGGAAAAAAGGAAAAACTAAACAGGATTCCAAGGAAAATGACTGGATCAACAGGGAGGCCTCATGGGATGAAATTAAGAAGCTTAAGGAAGCTTACAAGGATGCCAAAGAAAAGGCTGACAATATTGATATAGGGAATTTGGACAGGCTTTGATCCAGGAGAAGACTGAAAAGAGTCTATGAAGCCTCCATTACTGTAGGCTATAAAGTCACAGACAATGACTTTGACAATGATCTATGAATGTCTTCCATATATATACTACCATTCACTCAAATGCTTTAGTGCTTTGAAAAAATGTCTCGCTAGCACATAGAAACCTTTCTTTCATGATGAGGAGTTTTATAAAACAACCATTACTAAAGACAAAACAAATAAAGTGGACAACACGACTACAGCAAAGACCAAGTTTTGAAGATGGGCTCTTATCAGGACAGATTTTTGTTCAGTTATAGATGCTGTATATTTCCTAATCATGGGAAAGCTACAAAGCTCCCGTAGCTATGATAAAAAAACAAACCACAACACACCAGGAAGTGTGAATCAGCACACAAAACAAAAGGTTATTAATAACAGCTGGTCAGGATTTTCTCCCACCAGACTGTCCACTGAATGAATACATTTTCCACTAAAGCCACAGACACGTTTGGAGTCTATCATATCCTGGAATAAATCAGCAGACGCTCAGTCAGTTTTATTTTAAACAGTTACTCCTTAACTTATGTTTAAAGAGTGAACACCATTTCTCCATATTAACCTGTGCAGTGAATGAATAAGGCCTTTATAAATTCACTCTAAAAACGTGTTTAGCTGAAAGACGTCGGCATACGCATAGATGTTAGTTTGGCAGACGAAGACTCAAGAGAAAAGAGAAAGTACTCGGATTCCTAAAGTGAGTCCTGAAGTGAACGTTAAAGCTTTCAAACGTAATGACAGTCACCTAGGAATTACAACTACACAACCACAGGCAGAACTAAGAAATAGGTCACTTTTTGTTTAGTGAACCTGTGGATTTACAGTAAAACTATTTCTTCTGTTTCTAGCCAATTAAAAGGCAGCAAATCAAAGGCAAGGGAAAAATGGAATGCAATCGAGATGGAGAAGCACCTACAGAACATGGGGAAATCACACTGTTCAGCTCAGCCTCAGTGGAAACCAGAAGCACCTGCACTGCTGTGATCACCAGAGCATATCTTGTGGACTGAACTGGCAGGTGCAGCAATTCACTGAATTTATTACCCCATTCACCTGGAGACAGGAACTAGGAAACTCTAAACAGACGCAGTCAGAAGGGGAAGACATGCTTAAAATTTGCTTATGTATAAAAAAAGCAATGCAATGAAGCACTTTTGTGTACATAGTAACACGTTTCAGTTCCCTTTCTGGGCTGAGGACAGTGAGGCAAGGTGCAATTGAATACCCTGCAAAAATCTGACACACCCTGTTGTAGAAAAGCCTGTTTTCCACTACTCAGCGTCGCTGCTAAACCTCAAATGTTTTGAACCGTCACAGCGAAATACATCATTTACACATTTCACTTCAGGCTTCACACGGACAGCTTAGATCAGAACGTTTGATAAGTCAATAGGTGGTGGTCAGTTATCACAATGAAATCACCTGATTACTCATTTGCGTTAAATTCTCATTCAATTGTTTGTTTTATCCTGTACTCTTCACAGTTTGTAAAAATGTTGAAAGCAAAGGGATCAGGGTCTTTCAATATTATACAGAACCACCAACATTACAGTATGTGACCCATGGCAGGCTAAAGAACTTTTTCATCCAAAAAACTACCATATAAAAACTCAAAATAAAGTACATCTCTCATAACATGTAGCAAGCTTTCTCATTTGATATGGGGGGGAAAAGAACTTACCGGTTCCCCTAGTTTATCCAAATTGTCCAAGAAATATTTTACCGATTCCCCCTGTGAAAAAGAGAAAAACATTAGACTCATTGAAGTGACAAAATTTGTATGCCAATTGTGAATGACTTAATAAAAAAAAAACTCAGACATGTAAGTATTGGCACAGTTCCTACAATATATAAAAATTAAATTAACTCATTTCTCATGTTACACGTCAATGATTCTGATAATGAAATATCCTTTGTAGTTCCTTGCCAAAAATGAACCAGAACCTAATTTATGAATGCATGCTCCTTTTACAGATATCTGCCCACAAAAATGACACAGCTGATTACATACCACCTTCCCTAGAAGGTTCAAGCTGAGAAAAGCATGTTCTCAAATACAATTTTTCAATAAAGTACAAAAGAAAGCAAATGTGCGGTGCTTCAAAAACACACTTCGCTGTATTTAAATGTCAATTTAAACCGACAAGTAAATGCAAAATTGGCCAATTCAAAAGCCTTGAATACAAAATTGTAGAAAGTTAAGTGCCAGAAAAGGATGTCATTTTTTTCTTGACCAAGACAATCGCACACTATCCCAGGTACAAGTCACTTCTACATTTTTTTGGAAGGGGCAGGTTTAATAACATGAATTGGTGAAGTCTTGGGGACAGTATAGGCACAGAAAGTATGCAAGAAGTCAAGGTGTTATTGTTAAGGAAGATAAGAAGTTTAAATTCAATAAGCTGTAGAACAAATTAATAAATGTTCATAAAGTGAAAAGCCACTTAAATATCAGTCTTAAATCCATTCAGTAGAAACTACTGCTTTTCTGTTAAATGGAATCTAAACACAGGTTATCTATTACAGGCACTGCAACAATCTTCCACACTAAACTACAATCAAACCCGATTAAAGAGTCAGAGCCTAGCACTGATGTGATAAAGAGGACAGATCAACACAACACATAGCAGGCACACAGACAACAGGCAAGCTAATCTCAGGCAAAACAAAAAAACACAAATGACACATCAAATAAGAAGCACTTTATATATCAGCCTGTACAACTCCAGGATAGTCCAAGCTGCAGTGTAAGTCTCTCCAAAGACTCGGCAGCATGTCAAGATCTAAAGTTTTTCATCACATTACAATTTTAACTGCAATTAAGCTATTAAATACTCCAGGAAACAGCAGGAGGTTCACTGGGTCCCAGTGAACAATTAGAGGTTGGAATGACAGTACAACACTACCATAGGCTGTAAGGATCATGTTAAGACTGGGGTGTTGTGAACATGCATACACATGTTTTGGAAAACACGCATTGTAAACTCATTCAGTAAATGAGGCTGCATAAAAAGCAATTAGTACCATCAGTTTTTATGTTCAAATTATGTTCAAGCTGGTGATAGCTTGAGGATTTTAAAAGGGATGAGAAATTGTGATTGTGTGAACAGCTATAGGCTGAAGGAACAAATGGACTTGAAAACTGACGTTTAAAATGACAGTAAAGCAACAGCTGTATGACAGTACAAAACAATACAAAATTAGGTGTACTAGTCATCCTTAACTCATGTATGACTGTTTTAAATGTCAATGCTTGCCTTCAGTTTAGAATAAATGCAACCTCATACAATAACTTTGCCAGATGTCAGCTGTACTAGCACTCTAGTCAATGTGCCTTGGGACAAACGTTATTAGTATAGTGGGTTACATCTGCAAATGCAGACAACACATCTGTGATCTCCACTTCATTATGTAATGATTCTCAATGCAAATTCTCGGTTAACCCCTTCCTCAGGTTGTTTCATATTAGCACACAAACGGCTCACTAAAATCAAGACATACTAGCGCATTTCCTCTCCTGTACACTTCCTGCACTTATCTGCTGCTCTGCAGAGGAAGGACACGGCAGCAAGTGCCCGGCCCTGCCAGCTCTGCATGCTGCACCTTCTCTTCAGAGCAGCAGAGGAGATGAAAGCAACGGCTCTAGTTACACCTGGAAAGTCACATGCTGGTTTAGATACTCTGGGCTCCCTGGTCCTTTATAATATTCTACCATATATGACTGTTCTAAATGTTACCCCATGTCAGGGTCTGGGGTCAGACTCATGTACTAGCAAGGTCAATGAGAATTTTACCTCTCCTGGAGTACCTTGGTCCTGACCTTGAAATTCTGTTAACATCTAATTCAGTGAAGGCTGTTGCCTTGTGAAGGCTTGACCTAAAGCACACAGTTCAGCTTCTACTAGCCCAGAGAGGAATAAACTGGAATCCCGCAGTTCAATTTGCAGAGACTGATCTTATTCCACACCTTAACAGCTGGAAGGTGGCCAAGACTGCCTCCAGCACCAACTAGCTTCATGCACATCCTAAACAGCTGAGAGTTAGGCCGGGATTAGAAAATGTCCTTTTCAATTTGTCATGTTTTTTTTTTCCCCCACACATGGCCCCTATCCTATTTTTTTTAAACCACACTGAGCAAATTCAAGAGATGTAAGGAACAATTAGTTGGAGCCTTACAGATCAAACATCATAGGCTTCTGTAGAATCAAATGTATAAAACATACACTGCCAAGGAAACGGCAAAATAACTTTCTGGAGGAATGCTGAGGATTGCTATCCTGTTTAAATGGCACAGGGCTTTCAAAGAAGTAAACTGGTAAAATGAGTTCAAGTTGACAGTTTTACATCTTTTAAACTTGTGATTCCCTTCGTGGTGGACTGCCATGAGTTTGCAGGTTCAGCACTTAGTTGGGTGGCACAGTGTGGTGGTCTGTAAAATCTGTTACCTTTCCATTTCCTTCCTTTCACACCCCGCTGAAACCATGGCAACACACACAGTAAGGGGGGGTGGTCACTGGGGTGATGTTGTGGTGAAAACAATAATAAAGAAGCTGGTCAACTAAGTGAGAGGAGGGGAGAAACCCAGTCTTGCAGCCCCCTGAACAGATTAAGGTCATTAATCTCCCAGAGAAGAAATCAGTCTCATTCTGACAGGCCTATCAGTAACAGGCCAATCGATTCATAAAATCCAACACATTGGATAGTGACAAAGAAACTGGCGGTACACTGACTATAACAGGAAGTACCTGGTAAACAGCAAGAAAATATACATGCGTCTAGTGTGTGGGGGTGTCATTTATTCCTGAATTATTCTGATTAAGTGCTGTAATAACTTAGAGCCAGGATCTTTGGACTTTTAAATTCTAGTGTGTGCTCTCCATTCATATTAGCTGATTCGACTAAATGCATAATAACCATAATGGTCATTCTTGATATATTGCAATCCAGCAGTTAATTAATTAAAATCATCAATAAACTGCCAACTCTAAATAATAACACTTTAAGAGCATGAATCTCGTTTCTACAGGAATAGCTGATGCTGACTGAGGGGGTTATTCTGCCTCAACCTAAAGCTTAACTGCAAATGTATGCTACTGTTATGACCAAAGCATTTTATGACTAACACAGAAAACAAAACCAGTGATTTCTAAGATAGCCATAAACTTCAGCATTCTCTGAGCCTGCAGTTATGTAGATCAATTCTCAAACAATTTCAATGAGGCAAGCTAATATAAATGCTAGTATGAACTGCACAGATAAGTTAGATACAAAGGCAGATCAGGCTTTTTACTGCTGTAGAAACTTTCTTATAGAAAGTTTCAGAAGTGTAACTGCCTGCATAAGTTAACTCCTGCAGTTCTACTAAACAAAAAATGTGATAACGTCTGGGTCATTTAATGCCATTAGGAACAGTTCTGACCTTTGACCAGCAGTTCTGAGTGACTATCACATGAGTGTTTTAAGATCAATCCATCAAATCCCTCCAACATCCTGGAATTATAGCTGAGCCCCTACCTTTGCTACTACTTGGCTGCATGGCTTATTCACAGCATATCAATAAGATTAAATAAAGTATCACCTCAAAAAAAAACATGTATTTACATATACCTAGAGACTTCATTCAATTGAGTAAAGCATAAGTAAAACAGTCTAACAGATACTTACATTGTATTAAGTAAAAAAAAGATAACAGTATATTACATAGCCTTGTCTCAGAAGCTCTCAGAAGTTAAGGAAAGTTGGATCTGGGCAGTCTTCTAAGGAAAACTGTGCTCCTACTTTATGTAGTGTTGGGAGACCGTTAGGAGTCGCTCTCCCCTCCATTCCCATGTCAATGTTTTCATGTCCTGCATGTCCTAATTTAAGACATAGATCATCAGTAATTCCGTTAGTGGGATCTGCACTCAAAACCACTGATTATAAAACCCGAGACACCTTCAGACGGCTGAGATAAAATACTGGAATTTTACCAATGTTTTACCAAATGATCACAGATATGTTGTGTCACACAAGTTTGCTGGAAAGCTCAAGGTTTTTTTCCCATAAACAGTTACATTCGCACGTAATCCAAGTACAAAGTAGTACAGAATCACTCAGCTCATACAGAGCAAGACAGGCAAGTAAGGAAATGACTGGATGAAGCGCATGAGATATTACTCCTCCTTCCCCTGGAAAAAAGTAAAACCTTAAGACCAGACAAGTCAGTGGCAGGAGAGCCACTGGATTTTACCATTAATGAGGGAACCACGCTAAGCAGGTTAACCACTTGCCCAGACAAGAAAGGAACTACTCTACAGGCACAGCAGAATATATACCAACTGCAGGCTTTAAAAATCCCAATTCAAATAGGTTTTCAAACAATAAAAATCATTTGAGTAGACAAGCCTGGTATGTCTTACACAACATGGACAGCCATCATGAGTCCTGCAGGTTTATTACTGCCCTATACTGGCTCTGGTTTAAAGTAAACAACTGTCACTTTGTTTACCACAGAGACACTACATAACTCTGTTCACCAACCAAACTGTTACAAACTCTGTCTGGTCTTCAATCTTTCACTCAAAAACAAGTCGAGGGCACTGCTTCATCAAGGGCTTTTCAATTCCTCCTGACGTTTTACAGAAAGAAGGCTTAAGAAGCTTTTGGTGCAAATAACCCAACATGGCCCGTTTCTAACCAACTTTACAGAACTTTCATAAAATGCCCTCTTGTGAGCCAATTACCTTCAACATA